TCCAAAAGTGACGACAGCTCTGCATTTCGCGACCATGACCCCCCCGATCCCTGAGACTGTTGACCCTTTTGAGACGCGAAGACCAAACGCAAGCCCAAAAGCGACGACGGTTCTGCGTTTCGCGACGATTTTCGGCCGCGGACGCTTGCGGACACACGGCGGACACACGGCGAACGCTTGCGAACGCTTGCGAACGCTCCGCGCGCATTTCGCATCAACTCTCAACCCCCAGACCCCCAACCTCAAAACGAGAACCCTTCTGCTGCACAGTCGGGAAAAATTATGAGGAAGGATGGAAAACATACGAAGTTGATGAACAATCATGAAAGTTATTGAAAACAATGAAAGATATGGCAACTGCTGAAAGAGAAGAGGAAAATGCTGAAAATGATGAAGAATTGTGAACATCATGGAAGAGGCAGAAGGCAAAAAGCCAGAAGCGAAAAGCAGCAGAAAGCAGAAAGCAAGAATGAATAAGCAAAACAAAAAAATGAATAAACATGCATCCCCATATACCCCCCCTCTATACTCCCCCCCCTCCCGGATTTCCCCCATACTCAGCCTTGATCACGCCTGACTATCCCCGACTAACCTGAATCAAAAGGGGATCCAGGGGGGGTAGTGCAGAGGGGGTAGTAGGGGAACCCATGAATTACATGAATTTTCCGTTTGATTTTGCATTTGACGGTGATCCATTACAGGGGCAATATTCCCCTAAAACCGCTATAATTCCTACATGCACCTTGTAACCGCACCCCCTAAATACCTCCAATAAACCACCTGATATCCCTCAAACTCCACATAGCTTCCATCTTCTTTGCCATTCCCCTTACACATCCCTAAATATCCCTATGTTATCTCTCGAGGTTTCAAACTTCTTGCCTCGACCCCCTTGGCTACAGAGACCATGACGTTGGAGCCGAAAACAGGCTGGCTGAAGAAAACCCAGAACCTGGCAGGGTTTAGGGTTTCTGTTTCAAGGTAGTTTTAGGAAAGTGGAGGGTTCAGGTTGCATGCCAAAGAGATTGAACCACGCACAAGCAGGATCAACTATGGATACAAAACCTGCTGTCAAGCGCGGCTCTTCGACACGTCGTAGAGGAAAAGACCGCTGAGCAGCACCACCCCAGTGCTGTAGCTGGACAGATTTACAGACCTTGCCGGACAGGTCCCTTGTTCTTGTTGCCAGGAAGCAAGTCAGGCGCCTGATACCAAGGAGACAGAAAGAAAACCCGAGCAAATTGTTTGCGATCCAGTTTTTGGTCCAAACCTCAGCTCCAAATGACTGCTCTAGGCAGGTTGCCAAGTTACAACAGGAACTATGCGTATACTATGTAAGCTACAGGTTCTAGCAAGAGAGGCTGCGCAACGTCCACAGCATGAAGCTTTAGTCCATGCAAACCTTCGAGCCAGAAAGCGTAAGTGACCGCCAAGACCGATGCCACGACCATGCCGAGCAAGTCCAGGAGTGCGATCTGCGACGGCTTCTTACAAGGCAAAAGGCTCATCAACTGTATTGGCACCTCCAATGCCAACGAAGGAAGTCGAAGATATACAGGCGCTCCTGACAAAGGGTCCGCAACGCGGCACCGGCCAGCAGGGTGATACTTCTTGCGCGTAGATATAAATATGTATATACTCTGGCAGCCCTGCAGCTGAGAGGCCACGTTTGTTTCGGACCAACTGTGCGAAAGCATCGATGTTCGACGCCAGTCCGAAGGCACAAGTGGAGACCATGAGCGCAGCAATGGCTTGTTTCAGCCAATCATTGCCTTGACTTGTGGGTCTGAACTAAACAAAAATAAAGAAGTGCAAGCAACACCTGTTTGTTGGTCTGGGTGCATCTTAAGTGCCCAGAAATTTGAGAATGGCAAACAAACCAAACAGGACTCCTGGCAGGCAAGATGCTGCAAATTAAGCACTTCATGCGACACCTGCACACAATCGCTCTCCTGACCCCAAGACCGGAAACCAGTAGGCATCCTGGCGAGAACATCTGCAAACAGTGCCAAAAGCTCAACTGCATCCTCACTTCATGTCTCCTCTCGCTGCAGGACTGGTGTAGCTGTTCTTGATGAAGCATCTTCAGTAAACAACCATAAGCTCTGTTTCGAAGCAAGCATCCTTGGAAGGCTCCGGTCTGCATGCACATGTACGGCATCGTTCGATGCCACAAGCAAGCAGCGCAAGTGAGCCAACCGTCGCAACATTGCACATAATGAAACGGGGTGCACACACATCGCAGGCAGCAATACCAAATGTGCATGAGATTGGAACCTGGCTCTTGCCGTCATTGTGTCAGCCAGCACAACTCAATAGCTCACAACTCCATGATATGCAAATGTGAGGCACCACCCAAATCTGGTTCCTGGCAAGTTCTTCGCGGCCGTGGCAGACTTGGCGAGCCATTCCTTGTCTGGCTTTTGTGGGGAGGATAGCATATGTGCCTTCCAACCACTCAATTCCCATCCTGCACTTGTTGCACGGCGACATTGCGGCGGCATAATAACACTGTGGGGCTTGGCTTCAATTTGCATCGCCGGAAAACATGCCAATCCTATGATCAACTGCTTGTAAACTTATCCTGTCGTACAAATTGCACTGAGTCACTGGATTCTCGGGGTGGCCAGGTGGGTATGGACCCCCCCGTGTGACATCGGAGTTCCTGCACACAGAGTTGTTCAAAAATCCTGCTGAAGGTTGACCAGCACAAGTTTCCTCAAGGCCAACTCATGCCAAGTCACTTGACCCAACGCTGAATGTGCCCCTCCATTTGCTGATGTTCCCCGAAATGTGGATGGCATTTTGGAAATGGACCTACTGCTGCAACAACCGCAGAACCTTACCTCATCATCAAGCTCTCCACGATTCCAGGCAATTTGTATAATGGAATGGCCCTGGGCAGGCCTAGCTCATCAACATTGAAATCTTCAAGCTTGATGAAGGTCTTATCCGGTTTTTGGAATGTCCCAGGTGGCATATCATGGCGAAGGCTTTCCTTGTTTGTGCCCATATCCACGTTGTCGACCCATGTTGATGCAGCAAACTTGACCAAAGTGAAGCTTCAACATGGGCAACCGTACCCAAAATTGCACCAAGCCACGCCGAAGACAGCAAACACCAACAGGCAGCAAGCTGATGCACCTTTGCACAACAAGCTTGTTCCACGCACCTTTAGGTCAAATCACTTTCTGCCCAAAAACTCCCCTGAGGTCCACGCAATATAATTGCAGCAGTTCCAGGCGCAATCCTAACTGATTGGATGTTCAGTCTAGAGTCCAGATGCTTACACCAGGCCGCAAGTTTTTTACTTGATGGGCTTCTGGGAACAGATGTTGGCGTCCTGCAGGTCGAGGGGTTCGAAATGACTTTGCTCGATCGGAAACCATCCGCGACTGGCATCACTGGTGAGGACATGAAATATTGGCGATGTCCGAAGCGAATGCTGAGATCAACACTGTTGCACTTTCAGAAGCGGGCGCAACACAAGCAGGCTGCGGTTTCGGTGATGAAGACCGTTTTTTCAACGTATGACCTGGAAAAACACGGCTGCAACAACAAGAATGCAAGCACCACTACGCATGGATTCTGTAGCTTTATTATGTTACCAATCGTGTTATCTTGTCGAGCCTGCTGCCGGGATGTCGGGCGGCGGCATTTTTTTTTCCCGAAGCTAACCAAGGCTGTGTTGCACGCTGCCGCTGCTGGAACAAGTTCAAACATGTAGGACAATCGACCAAAGCGAAACTGATGCGTGAATCATGACCCGTATTTCGTCCTGCATTGGACGTACCAAATGGCTACAAGATAGCGGGGGCAGGTTCAAAGCGACCAGAAGCTGAGTTCGCAAACCAATTTTGCAACATAATTGGCCTGCCCATTCGCGACTGCAGATGGCCAGCGAAGCGGCCATGTCACACAGGAATTGTCACGTGTGATATGGTTGCAATGCTGGAACCCAATTGTCCAATCATGCAAACGCTTGTTGTGTATAGCTCACTGACATCTGGGGATTGAGAAAAATTGCATTCAGCCATACTCAATCAGCAGCGTTTTGTGAGCCACACATTTGCAACTTTACACATTCATGATGACCATGCACAACGCTCGAGAACCCGAAAAAAAAAATGTTTGGCAGTCGCGGGTTTGAAAGCCAGTGAACATGAACCCTGTCGAACAAATGAATGGGCAAAAACGTTTTTGCTGGCATGAATCGCCTTCCGACAAGTCTTTTGCAACATGGGACATGAGTTGGCATGCCATGGGGTTGGAAGAGGTGTTCGTACATTCAAGCGCACACCCATTCCCCTTTCGAGCTCTGACAGCGACGGATTCTCCCCATTATCCAATGCAAAATGCAGGAAATGGCCAGTGCTGCCATTCTGAAATCAGAAATGATTAAGGGAGGCCGCGTCAACCCAAGAAATGAGGGGGACACCATGGTGTTTTCCTACAATGACGGGACCGTCAGTTTATCAGAAACGTAGCCGGCATAGCGTCTTCCACAATGAAGTACCAAAAATACGCGAAAATTTCGGGGAGGAATACCGGAACCATGCCAATAGACAATATAAATACAATGTATTGTAAGAGACATTTAACATATGTGTATATATAAATATGTGCTACCATGTTTCCGCTTGTATTATTTTACACCTCCTTCGCACCAATGTTTGGTACGTCCCCGTGGCTGCCTCTTGGGAAGCCATCCCTTGTAAAGGCAGGTAGCTTTGTGCGCATGTTGGGGCAATTGCGTGCCATGGCTCACCCAGCTGAAGCAGCTGCGTCTTTTTCCTTTGAAGGTAAAAAAAAAAGGCCAAAACGACCTGAGACTACCCTAGCATGGTCCAACAAGTCCTAGAAGCAGGCAGACAGGACTTCAGACGAGTCCGCAAGGTGATCGCTGAAGAGGGGCAGGTTGCCATCATCATTACTAAGGTTTGCCAGGGAGAGGGCTATTCCACAAAGGGGGGCCGTTAGCAATGACCTCTATCCGGCGCTCGTTTGGCCTCCGAGGCTCGACACCCAACTCTGACGTGCTGCTGGACTGTGGCTCCTGCTTCGCAGCAAGCGCGGGCTGCCGGCTGCCCGCTCGAGAAGCCCGCCGCGGGAACGTAGTACCCCAGAGCGAAGGCATGCCGCCACATGGTCGCCAAGGACGTCCAAACCGCGACGGCAGCGGCAAGCTGCACGTGCAAGGGGCAATGGCACGCGCAGTCGCCGGAAAAGCTGTGCCCTGGAAAGGGGCGAGGGCAGGCTGAGCTCCGGTGAGGTGGGGTGGGCTGTAAGAACATATGGGCCAGCTCGGGAATAAAGCATGGCGGCTGATGCTGAGTCGGGCTCGCGTCGGAGGGCTGGGTCAGCAAAGTCGTTGCAAGCACGGTGCAGGGACCCAGGCCTCCGTGCCGCAGCGCAGGTTGGGCCGGGCGGCAACCAGAGGTGGCTGAGAATCACACTTGGCGCTTGCGGACAGCAAGGCTGCAGGACACGACAACACGGAACGGTCGTGAGAGAGTCAGGTCTGTGAACAACCGTGGGTCACGGTCAGGGACTAATATATGTATCACACGCATGGTTGGTGCTCAAGTGAACCAAGGACAACAACAAACACAACATCAATGAATACAAACGCACAACCATATGAACATGCACTGTAGCACCGTGCCATGGGCGTGATCAAAGAAAGCTAAAGGCGCGTTTATGTACAAAGAAGTTGCACTCAGACTTGCTGCGTTTCATCTCTCGCACGCTTCAGCAGCAATGCAAACGCTGGCCACAAAATTGATGTTGTTGACCAAATCTCGGGCAATATTGATGTTTCGGTCGGTAGAGAACAACGTGTGCAAATTAAATGCATCGGCATGCTGGGAGCTCGACCTCCAACGCTGCCGGGCAACACTATGCGCAGGACATTGAAGCAAGGCATGTGACAAGGAATCAGTGCCACAGGTGCAGAACCGGCATGGTGTGGCACTGGCGATTGCAGCTGCATTGCGGGTGCGATGTCGGGCGGCACGTCCATCAAGGAAAGAATGGTGGCCACACCGCGCCAAGCCCCAATAGCGTGCACAGCGGGCTGCAACATGGGGTCCATACACAACACTGTGCAGTCGAGGCCCGGGCTGCCAGCAGGCAAAATCCTGCAAAGAGCCACAGTCACGAAGAGCGGCTGCGTACAAAGCATCGGCACGATTCGACAACACAACTTTCAAGTGGCGAAGCCAACCCTGAAGCAGCGACTGGGTGCACCCCATATGAATTCCAGAGTCATGCGGGTGCGGGACACCCGCGTTGCAGACTTCGACCAAGAGGGAATGAACCCAGGACTGGGGTTGGCAACTTGCATACCGCGCAATATGTCCGGCATAGCAGTCTGGTGGCAAACTCATCAGCCGTGCACACAGGCTGGCTGCCCGACAAAGGCGCGTAGTATCTGCATCATGCCAACCTAGCTGGCCTTGGACAGCGACACCGGGACTGCCAGCAAGCCATGCCAGTAATCGCCGGCCCCACTGCCAAAGGCGAGTCTGAAATCGTTGTAGCTGTGGGCCAGCGGACACGAATTCCAACCCAAACCAAACCGAAGGACTAACATAAGTTTGAAACACGCTTTCAACAAACCGAAGTGGCAGGCTGGCTGACGTTGTCCATGACAAGCAGGCAGCCATTTTGCCTTCACCACGACGCAGTAATTCATCAACATGATGGCTCCAAGAAAGCCGCTCGTGCAAAGTGACGCCTAGGTAAGTGTAGCTCCGCACGCGAGGCAGGTTGAGTTCACCAACATGAAAATGGTGTGTGCTAGCACGGCCCCGTCCAAACACCATGAAGGCAGATTTGGCGGGGCCGGGGCTGAAATGAAAACGCCAAGCATTTGCCCATTGGTGCGCTGCGTCTAACGCCTTCTGCAAATCATGAGGATTATCACTTAGGACAACGATATCATCAGCATAAAGCAGCACTTGGACTCGCGGGGCATTGCAGTCAGGTCCGCAAGCGACCCCTGGGCAAACGCGTTTTATGGCAGCTGCGAGACCATTAATCAGAAGATTAAACAGCAAGCCGCTAAGTACCGCCCCCTGACCAATTCCAGATTCTACATCCCAAGGTTCTGATAAACACGATCCAATGCGGACCGTGGTCGTGCGATCGGTCACAATGTCATCTATCAAGTGCCATAAATTGGTCGGGATCCCAGCCCTGTGGAGTTTACGCAACGCACCCTCTCGCCAAGCGACGTCAAACGCTTTGCGGATGTCAAGGCACAAAATGTACGGCTACCCTGTCGTAGCCGAAGCGTCTCAAACAAACTATAAAATTGGACATCCGAACCCCAACGAAAACCAGCTTGTGACGTATCTAGTTGTGGGTCAACCGCCGGCTTGATGCGATTCAAAATCAATTTTTCAAGCGTCTTGGCAAAACATGACGTGAGTGTTAT